ATTATGCAAACATCATTTATATTTTGACTACTGCAGTCAAGAAAAAGGAAAAAAGTTGTTTTATTTCGATGATTTTTGGTTACTTTACGTTTAGAATTTAATTCTTTTTGGACAAAACTCGATTGTAGTCAACCTGACATCCATTCTGTCTTGTTACTAATAGCACATTTTACCGTCGCTAAAAATTTTTCAAAATATTTAAGAAAAATTCTCGCTGCTTTTTAGAATAAATAATAGATAAAAACTATGTGATATCTTAAGAAATCGTGTATAAAAAAAGCTATAGAAACCTTGTCTTTTAAGTATTAAAGCGTATACTAAAAAATAAAAAGTGTTGGTTACAATAAGATCTAGCAAATATCATTTAAGTTTTAAAAACTGCAGTCGAAGAAAAGAGTAAAAATCATTTTATTACAAATTTATTTAGTTTTCTAACGTGTAAAATTCAATTATTTTTCGGAAAAATTTGATTGTGGTCAACCAAACATTTATTCTGTTTAGTTTCTAATAGCACTTTTTACCTTCTCTAAATAATATTAATTATATTTAAAAAGAAAGTTTCGCTTCTTTTTCGAATAATTCGTAGAAAAAAGTTATAAAAAATCTAAAAAAGTGTTATTAAACAGAAGCTATGAAACGTTTTCTTTCGAGCTTTAAAGCGTATACTTTCCAAAAAAAATGTTTTTAGGCTGGTAAAATTTGGCAAACATAATTTATATTTGGGATACTGCGGTCAGAAAAAAGGAAAAATTCATTTTATTACGACTTTTTTTGGTTACTTAACGTGAAGGATTTAAGTCTTCATTAACGAAACCAGATTGTACTAAACCCGACATCCATTTTGTTTTGTATCTAGTAGTACCTTTTTACCGTTGCTAAAAATGTTTAATTATATTTTGAAAGAAATTTTCGCTACTTTATGGATTAAATTGTAGTTAAATACTATAAAATCTCCAAAATAGTGCCATATAACAATAGCTATGAGACGTTATCTTTCAAGTTTTAAAGCGTATACTAACAAATAAAAAGTGTATAGTTCAATAAAATCTAGCCATTATCATTTACATTTCAACAACTGCAGTCCAAGAATAGAGAAAAAATCATTTTTTTACAACTTTTTTTGGTTACTTAACGTAAATAATACAATTCTTTTTTGACGAAACTCGATTGTAGTAAACCTGACTTCCATTCTGTTTTGCTTCTAGTAGCAAATGTTTACCGTCGCTAAAAATTTACTAATATATTTAAAAAAAAATTTTCATTATTTTCTGGATTAAATTGTAGTTAATTACTATAAAATCTCTAAAATAGTTCTATATAACAATAGCTAGGAAACGTTATCTTTAAAGTTTTAAGGCGTATACTAACAAATAAAAATTATGTAGTTAAATAAAATCTAGCCATTATCATTTTCATTTTAACAACTGCAATCTAAGAAAAGAGAAAAAATCATTTAATTAAAACTTTTTTTGTTACTTCACGAGCAGAATTCAATTTTTTTTGACCAAATTCGATTGTAGGCAACCTAACATCTATTCTGTTTAGTTTCAAATAGCAAATTTTTACCTTTGTTTAAAATTTTTAAATATATTTAAGAAAAATTATCACTGTTTTCTAGATTAATTATTAGTTAAAAACTATTAGATATCTAAAGAAGTGCTATTTATTAAAAGCCTAAAAACGTTTATTTTTTAAGTTTTTAGACGTTTTTTTTACAAATAAAAAGTGTTTGTTCTGATAAAATTCAGCAAATATCATTTATATTTTAACAACTGCAGCCAAAAAAAAGAAATAATTATTTTAATACAACTTTTTTTAGTTACTTCACGTTTATAATTAATTCTTTTTTGACAAAATTCGATTATCGTCCACCTAATATTTATTCTGTTTAGTTTCTAATAGCACATTTTTACCATCGCTAAAAAATTTTTAATACATTTAAAGGAAATTTTTTTTACTTTGTAAATTTAAGTGTAGATATAAACTATAAAACTTTTATAAACATGCTACTTAACAGAAGCTATAATTCCTTTTCTTTCAAGCTTTGAAGCGTGTACGTACAAATAAAAAGTGTTAATTCCAAAAAAAATTTAGCACACATTATTTATATTTTGATTACTGCACTTGTCACGTCCTAGTGACGATTTGGTATACCGAACGTACTATCTAAAAGATTGTGATTTGTCCTCCTGTCATAATTATAAAATTTTTTAAAATTTTGTAACTTACATATTTTTATTAATACCATTATATTATATTAATAACATTTATTACATTATTATTAATATTATTACATTATATTATTAACATTTGCGCGTGGATACGATACAATTACTAAAATAATTTACCGTTGTATAACAAGTAACCGTAAGGTAATTCACTTTATATTATATTTATTGTAAATTCTATTTTACATTACTTTATTTTTATATTTTACACTATTTTTCYATTTTACATTATTTCTATTTACAATTACTAGGATAATTATATTGTAGTCGCTGTAATAACTATTTGTATTGGGCGCTCTTATGAACGACCATCGATAATTATCATTTTTTGCACTGCATACGGTAATAATGGAACGTGTGTCGATGGTTATTCATAAGGAAATCTACCCTACCGACAAATAAAGTCGGTAAACGGTCTTTTGGAAGTCGGTATTACCGATTTCGTGCTCCCACATTACCAACACTTATTATTCAACATTTAGTTAATATAACAATTATTATTGGCATTTGTCTTTATTTAAATAATTGCTGCAAATAACATTGTTATAAATCTTATTTCTTTTTTCTAATCAAGGATAAATTTTGACAGTTATTAATAATTAATAAAATAAATAATTTTTAACATTTAATAAAAGGTAATAATGTTAGCTTGCACGTAAGAATTCCATGGTCGTGATAAAGGCACACGTGCAATGAAAGGAAATCTATTAGCTCAAGTATAAAAAACACGTGCAGTTCCGAGAATCTCTAACTGATAGTAACTTAACACCATCCTCTCTTTGGAGAACTCACGCTTGATTGTAACCTATATCTTTCTAAGGCAAAATTCCATTCTCAGCTGACGCAGCGGTTTGGCGCCRGATGGTAACTAATATTTATTCGCACGTGCAAAACTAATAAATCAGCACATTTCTTTCTCACGAGTTGGTCATGCTTGGCAGTGGGGGAGGCATTTAGCGCGAGTGGGGGTACCTCTCACTCGGCCGTGCGGTACTCGACGTAGGGAGCTTGGGTACTCCCCTCCAGTCAGTCTACCGGCAACTTCGAAACTATTCACTCGAAAATATAAACTTAATAATAATTACTTCTTTCTAATAATACATACTTATACGTTTTGTGCCTAAGGGTCTCTCTTCCTCTAAGAAAGCCTCAGACAACTCTTTAAGATTTGTCTCTTTTATACGTTAGACAAGAGAAGTCTTTTTCAAAATACTCTTTTTATTTTGTCGGCTAGGAAGATAGACTTCTCTATTATTTTGTGCTATCAATTGTGTAACTTAATATAAGAATATACTTTAGTTTTACCTGTGAAAAAGTGACATTATTCTAATAGATAAAACCCATATAACAACTTAATCCTGCGACCGTTTAATCAACATAATCGATTCAGAAGCGGTTAGGTCGGTGGATTATCGGAAGTGGGCACAATTCGATCCAGAGGTCATCTTGATACTTTAACAAGGGTAAGTGCATCTTATTCTTTTTAGAACTTACTAGTGCTGGCTCTTCTAGCCCAGATCCCTGGCAAAGTACCGGCTATACAGACTAACCAAAATTAATGCAAACTTTTGTGGGGTTGTTCGTTTAATTGCGGGAACGTCACACAGTCAAAGAAAAGATATCAAATTACTTTATTACAACATTTTTTGGTTACTTTACGTAAAAGATTTATATCTTTTTCAACGAAACT